GATGCAAGATGAGGTGCAGCGGCCGCGAGGCACTCCAGCTCAAACTGCCTGTCCTCAAGGACGTCACAGCCAAGGGCAAGCTCACCCCCGACGGACTGAGGACAGGAAGAGTAAAAAACAAGACACGCAGCGTAGTCAAGGCGGCACAAAGCGGCAAAGTCAACAAGCTCAGCAACTAAGGCAAAAGCAGCAGTAGACTCAACGGAAGGGTCAGTCACAACTGTGGCAAGGAGACGAGTGACAGTCGGACTGGCAGAACGGACAAGGTCAGACTCGGGGTCAGGAACGTACGGAAGAGAGGACGCGGGAGGCGACGGCAGGACAACACGTTGTGGAGAGGAAGGACGGAGTGTCATATCGTGAGTGCCCAATAAAGCCGGAGCACGAGGACGACAAACACGACGAACACGAGCAGGGAAAGAAGCTCTAGTCTCAGGCTTTCGACGCTCAGGAGTGGAAGCACGAGTCTCATGCTCACGACGCGCAGTCAGGGACGCAGTCACCTCAGTCTGAGGAGCAGGAGCAGGCAGCGGGGAGCCAGGCAGTAGCTGTGGCTGAGACTGGTCAGTCAGTGGGAACAGTAACGGAGGAGTAGTACCAGCAAATGGGAGCTCAGTAGCAGCAGGCGGGAGACTGAGAAGGTGACGAAGCGCAGACAGCTGCGGCTGAATACTCGCACCCCCAGAACCTCCAGCTCCAGTAGCAACAGCACCCCCAGAACCAGTACCACTAGCTCCCCCACCAGGACTGCCCCAACGGACAGCCCATCTGCGAAGCTGCAGCGGCGAGAGCGACTCCTGCCGACTACCACTAACTCCAGCACCCCCAGAACCTCCAGGATTACCTCCAGTGTCAGCACCGCCTCCAGTACCAGTACCTCCAATACGGCCAACTCCAGGAACACCACTACTAGCACCTCAAGGGCCAGTACCTCTAGTACCTCAGCAGATCTGCGCCTCCAGTACCTCCAACATCACCTGTGTCTCCAGTACCAGGAACACCAGCTCTAGCACCTCCAGGGCCAGCACCTCCAGAACCTGCTGCTCCAGCACGTCCACCGCCACCACCAGGACTGCCCCAATGGACAGCCCACTCGTGAAGCCGCTGCGGCGAGAGAGACTCATGGCAACGTGAGTCAGGACTACCCGCAGTAGCACCCACAGCAGCAGCACCTCCAGCACCTCCAGCACCACCAGGAGTCCCAGCACTTCCAGCTCTAGTAGTACGAGCACGGCTAGCTCCACCACCAGGGCTGCCCCACTGGGCAGCCCACTCGCGAAGCCGCTCTGGCAAGAGAGTCTCCTGCCGACGTGCACCAGTGCCACCCGCACTAGCAGCCCCAGTACCACCAGTAGCAGAACCTCCAGCTCCAAAACTGCCTGCACCTCCAGCTCCAGTAGTCCCAACACCTCCCGCTCCAAGACGGATAGCTCCACCACCAGAGATGCCCCACTGGACAGCCCACTCGCGAAGCCACTCTGGCGAGAGAGCCTCCTGCCGACTCATACCAGGACCACCAGCACCAATACCTCCTGTACCCAAAGGACACTCAGCACCCCCAGAACCAGCACCCCTAGTGGTGCCACCTCCTGCAGCACCAGAATCCATAGCGATAGGCTGCAGCGGCGGTGAAGACGGTCGAGGCGGAGACCCAGGAGGGACCGCCAAGCGCGCAGAGCGGCGAGGGGTACGGTGGCAGCAGGAGTCGGGGCACCCCCCTTAGCTGGGCCAGAGGTGTCAGAGGAGACATCGACTAGCTCAACCAAGGGGGACGGGTCAACCTGAGACACACCTAAGGTATCAGGACCCTGAGGGGGGGAATGGGGCTACCGGGGGGGGGGGGGTCGGAGACCAGTGCGAGAGGCGGGAGGGGCACGGGGGAGCTGCGGTGGGGGCGGAGACGGTAGAAACAGACAGACTCGTCCTGGGAGGAGAGAACACGACGGGAACCCGGGTGGTAAAACTGCCAGCCCAGGGCATCGGTAGGGAAGCCAAGGAAGACGTAGCGAAGAGTGCGGGGAGAGAGCTTCCCCGCGGGGGAGTCGCAAACAAGCGAAAGGGCACCCCAGACCCAAAACGACGACGCATCACCAACCTCGCCCGCCCACCGCAGAGTGGGAGAGGTCTTCGGGTGGGAGACACGGGGCCAGAGGTTGAGTTTCTCAACAGCGTATTGGACCGCAAACGGCCACAGAAAATGGGGAGTAGCTGCATGGACGATGGAGGTGCGAGGAACCTCCATCATCAAGCCAATGCAGCGCTCTGCAATCCCATTCTGCTGTGGAGAGGCCGGAAGCGTGAACGTCTGGCGGATGCCCTCAGCACCACAGAACTCCTCGAGGAGACCGGAGGAAAACTCACCACCTTGGTCAGAGTGCAGTCGCAGGACCGGGAGGTCCTGTTGAAACCGAGCTCTGAGCTGGCGACGAACAGCACAGATCCAGCGGATCAGAACACTGCGGACCTCCGCCTTGCTCTGCAAGGGGAAGACCATGGTGTAGCGCGTGTAGTCGTCTACAACCAGCAAGAAGTAGCACTCTCCGCCCTGTCCAAGGACTCGGGCTGGACCCCACACGTCCATGCGGAGGGTCTGCAGAGGAGCTGTGGTTGGAGGAAACGAGGAGGAGTGAGGAGCGGCGCGCTGCTGCCCCTCGACGCAGGGAAGGCACAGCGGCACAAGCGACCTCGGGAGCGGGAGCAGGGACCAGGGACCTGGGAAGCCCAGAGACAAGGAGACGGGAGTGCATGCCACGAAGGCGTGGCGAGGAGGGGTGGCAAAGACGGTGGTGCCAGAGGAGAGTCTGGTGCGTGAGGAGACGACACGAGCAAGAAGCAGCGACCTCAACTGACGCAGCTACCTGACCTGACTCAGGTACCAGTGCAGACTCAGTGGTCAGTGTGTACAGGCCAGACCCAGGCCTCCGAGTGAACGTGGCGAGGTGCTCACCAATGCGCGAGTCTGTACAGAGCGCCACTAGCTCGCCTCCAGGCTGGGTGACAGTGACCCACTGGTCCTGGAGGACTGAGGTAGCCACCAAGTTCTTAGCGAACGAGGGGAGGTGGAGACCTGTGAGGAGGCCCGAAGGGGCCGCCGGACAAGGGAGAACAGTGGCGCCACGCGTGACTACCGGGCCCCCGGAGGGGTCGGCCAGTGTGACAGGGACAGGGACTGTAAGCGGTGTGACTGTGGTGCTGTCACGGAAGAAGCCACGAGACGCCTCTGAGTCGAGAGTAAAAGTGTGCAAGGCCTCCTCATGCTCTGCACCTGTGCTAGCTGAGTCAAAAGCACCAAGACTAGCAGCCTCTACGCCACCAGGTGCCTCTCTACCCCCAGCACTAGTACCCCCTGGTTCGCCACCGGGGCTGCCCCACCGGACAGCCCACTCACGAAGCTGCTGCGGGGAGAGAGTCTCCAGCGGACGCTGCTGCCACTACTGTCCACCTCCGCGTCTACCAGCGGCACTACCAGCAGGAGTAGACTCACAGGGACCTCCAGCAGTAGCACACCAGGCTCCGCCACCGGGGCTGCCCCACCGGACAGCCCTCTTGCGAAGCTGCTACGACGAGAGTGGCTCCCGCCGACGAGTACGAGGACCGCCAGCAGCAGCACCTCCAGCCCTAGCATGGCTAGCTCCGCCACCAGGGCTGCCCCACCAGATAGCCCACTCGCGAAGCTGCTGCGGCGAGAGAGACTCCTACACACTCGGCTGCCGCTTACGTAGGACAGCGGTAGTGGCCATGGTAGGAAGTGGCAGCTAGTAGCAGCAGTAGCACAGGCGTCAGTAGCAGCGTAGCAGCACTCGGGGCAAGGTGGCACTAGCGCGGGGTAGGGCAGCACGGGGCAGCGCACTCGGGTGGCAGCAGCACCTAGGGCGGCAGCAGCATGTGGTAGCACCTAGGGCGGCAGCAGCAGGCGGTAGCACCTAGGGCAGCAGCGGGCAGTAGCTTTTAGGGCAGCAGCACCTAGGGCTTAGTTTTTTTTTTTTTTTTTTTTTTTTTTTTTTTTTTTTTTTTTTTTTTGTAGGGTTAAGCTGGGCGCGCTGGCGCGCTGGGTAGTGGGGCGCGCTGGCGCGTCGGGCAGCGGGGCGCTCTGGCGCGCTGGGCAGTGGGGCGCGCTGGGCAGCGGGGTGCGCTGGCGCGCTGGGCAGCGGGGCGCGCTGGCGTGCTGGGCAGCGGGGCGCGCTGGCGTGCTGGGCAGCAGGGCGCGCTGGCGCTGTGGGCAGCAGGGTGCGCGTGCAGAGCGCGCGGGCAGGCAGGGCGGCGCAGCTGCAGGTAGAGCGCGTGCAGGCAGGGCGGCGCTCAGGCAGGGCAGCAGGGTGTTCAGTAGCAGGGCAGCTGGGCGCAAGCGGGCAGGGCAGTAAGGCCGTGCGTGCGCTGGCGCTAGGCAGCAGGGCATGAAAAAAAAAGTTTCAAGTCCGGGCAGGGCGGAACGTTCAGTGGGCCTTAAGGAACGTACCTACTCTAATACCATGTTAGAGTATGGAAACAGGAATGTGTGCATTGAGTAGGATGAGGATACAAGTAGTAAACCCTAAAAGGGTTGTCCCCTCTACAGTGTACCCCAGTATAGACTACAGCACTATAAGTGCATGCTTTGACATTATGGTCGTCTAGACGCACACAGGGCACGCAAGTGAAGTGGCTCAGCGGCAGCACGGCAAGCTGTACAAGAGGTGGTGATGGTCACGCACGCATGCAACCGGGTGGGTGAGCAAAGGGTGTGAGATGGCAGCAGGGAGTGGCGCACGGGGCATGCACGGGCAAGTGGGCTCGCGCCATGCAGCAGCACTGCAAGCTGTACAGGGAGGGAGGTGGTTGCATGGCGTGCATTCGCCCTGGGTGGTGGGCGTGAGTGGGCGTGAGTGAGCATTGAGTGGTCGTACACACGTGCATGGGAGGGTTGCTGTATGCGGGGGGCACATGAGGGGTGTGCCGCCCTGCTATCTGCTGTGCGTTGCATGTGTCGCTGCCGGGACGTGGAGATGGGGTTCATGGCAGGGTCACAGGCTGTCGTCGGACGCCACTAATGTGCCCTTCTGCGCCTTCTCTCGCCGCTCCTTCTCCTTCTCCCGCCTCTCCTTCTCCTTCCTTCTCTTCTCTTCTCGCTTCCGCTTCTCCTCCTCCCGTTTCCACTTGTCCTCCTGTTTCTTCTTCTCCTTTTCCTTCTCATCCGCATCATCATCACCACCGCTGCTGTCACTGCTGTCACCGCTATCACTGCTCGCGTCACCGCTGCTGTCACGGAACCCCATGAGGCGCTGCATGCCCACCACAGTGCGGCACCACCACTTGCGCCGGTCGCACGCCATCACGCGCATCTGCACGCCCGCCCCTCCACTCCCCCCATCCCCCCCATCGCCTCCCCCATCGCCCCCTGAGCCCTGCTGCAGCAGGAATTGGGCGACAGCAGCGCGCACGAACACACCTGCCTCGTGCTGCAGCAGCGAGGTGACAAAGGCGTCGATGGCGGCGGGCGGCACGGGCACGGGGGTGAGGGCGGCCGCGATGGCCACCATGTCCTGCTGCAGCGCTGTCAGCGCCGCACTGCCGTTGTATGTGTAGGGCACTGCCGTGGCACCTAGGGACGTCACGGGGGGCAGGGTTCCTGCAGCACAACAGGCACATGCACATGCAGTGGGGAGCATGGGATGGGAGCATGGGATGGGAGCATGGGATGGGAGCATGGGATGGGAGCATGGGATGGGAGCATGGGATGGGAGCATGGGATGGGAGCATGGGATGGGAGCATGGGATGGGAGCATGGGATGGGAGCATGGGATGGGAGCATGGGATGGGAGCATGGGATGGGAGCATGGGATGGGAGCATGGGATGGGAGCATGGGATGGGAGCATGGGATGGGAGCATGGGATGGGAGCATGGGATGGGAGCATGGGATGGGTGACCTGTCGCGAGTGGGGTGCACGGAGGGTGGCGTGCAATGCAGCACAAGGCTGTGCCGGGGCGACTGCGAGGCGAGATGTAGGCCAACCAGCAGGCGGCATGCTCAACTGGTGTGGTGACACGTGCATGGTTGAACCGCACAGCCTCATGCAAGCCCACAGCCTTGAGCACATGCAGCGTGGGGAATGCTCACGGGGCAGTGGGCGTGGGGAATGCTCACAGGAGCAGTGGGCGTGGGGAATGCTCACGGGGGCAGTGGGCGTGGGGAATGCTCACGGGGGCAGTGGGCGTGGGGAATGCTCACGGGGTAGTGGGCGTGGGGAATGCTCACGGGGGCAGTGGGCGTTGGGAATGCTCACGGGGGCAGTGGGCGTGGGGAATGCTCACGGGGGCAGTGGGCGTGGGGAATGCTCACGGGGGTAGTGGGCGTGGGGAATGCTCACGGGGGCAGTCGGTGCGGGGCGAGGAGCGCAGGGAGAGGAAGGGCATGAGCGAGCCCGCCCAGGCGTCCCTGGCGGTGAGCACGTCCTGCTTGGCCGTCAGCCCGAACACGTCCCTCAGCGTCGCCGCCACCGACGTGTGCTCGAACTGCGATGTCGCGTACGGGCCTCGTGGGCGGTGGATCACTGGCGAGTAGAGAGAAGGCGGAGGGGAATGGGAAGGTGAGATGGGAGGAGAGGGGGATGTGGGGGAGAAGGCCTGATGAGTGGCGGAGGGGGGGAAAGAGGAGAACAGCGGATGATTGGAAAGATGGCGTGGGAGAGCAAGGGCTGATGAATGGCAGAGGGGGGCAGGGGAGGGCGGATGAATGGCAGATGGGGCAGACAGGAAAAAGGGGGAACGGGGAGCGGAGGGGCGCGCACCCATGCCTTTGTCGACCCAGGGCGAGATGACGAAGGTGGGCACGCGCACGCCGAGGCGGCGGAAGTTGAAGCCGTCCTCCTCGCCCACCACGTCGTCGGGGGACGGCACGCCCGCCATGGGCGGCGCCACGTGGTCGAAGAACCCGCCATGCTCGTCGTACGTCACGATCAGCAGCGCGTTGCGCCACTGCGGCCCGGCGCGCAGCGCCTCGTACACGTCTTTAATCAGCTGCTGGCCGTGCCGCACGTCGTGGCCCGGGTGGTCGTCGTTGCCCGGCTGGCGCGAGAAGTCGAAGTACTGCGGCTCCACGAACGAGTACGCGGGCAGCCGCCCCAGCCGCGCCTGCGCGTAGAACAGCTCGATCGGGCGGAACCTGCGCGCGTGCTTCCACCGGCGCAACGAAGATAGCGCGAGCGACGCGGGGATGTCGTGGTAGAAGATGCCGAAGGACACCTTGCGGCGCGAGAGCACGTCGAAGATGGTGCGCGCGGGGAAGCCCGCGAGCAGCACGGCCTTGCGCTCCGCCAGGAGCCCTTTGGACGTGGCGGCGTGCAGGAAGTAGCGGTTGGGATGGGTGGGGCCCGGAACGGACGAGAACCAGCGGTCGCACACGGCGAAGTTGGTGGCGAGCGCGGTGGTCACGGGGAGCGCGGCCGGCGGAAAGGCGGCCATCACCTCCGCGGAGAACCCCGCGCGCACCTCCTCCGCCTGCTGCGCGAATCCCCGCATAAGCCGAGAAGAGGCCTGGGAGAGGTAGTGGGGGCGGTGCAGGAGAGGGCGTTGGACGGGAGCGGAGTAGTGGAAGGCGAGGACAGGCGGAGGGTGGATGAGGAGGCAAGGGAGACCGGAAGCACGTGGCCAGATAAAGAAACGAGAAGAGGCGGCAGGGGGAGGGGGGGCGATAAGGAGCGGCAGCGGCGGAATGGCAGGCTTAGAATCCCTGCGACGGGCGGATAGGGCGAGGTTTGTCAAGGAGGCGGATGGGACAGGTGATGGCGACACGAAATCGGTCTGACGGGCTGAATCGCTTGTGGTGGTGCGAGAATGAGCACGTCATGTGTCGTACCTTAGCTACCGATTTCCCGCCGAAGATCTGATTGCGAACGCCTTTGAACGAGTGGTCGGGATCCTCGCTGCAGTTGTACCGCGCTTTATCGTTAATGCACACTTGCTCGAACGTCACCCCGCCAGCCGAATTGCCCGACACGCTCGACTCGCCCGAATCGCCCCCGCCAGCCGAATCACCCGACAGGCTCGACTCGCCCGAATCGCCCGGGTCGCCTGATGGGGCCGGCGGATCCGCGTCGCGAGCCCTGGCGACGATGGGGTTGCACTCGGAGCCATCGAGGCCGTCAATTTCGGCGTTGCGGGGCTGCAGCCATCCCAGCACGTGATCGAACGACCGGTTCTCCATCATCAGCACCACCACGTTCTTGATGCGCTCCGACGCCGCCACGTGGCAGCTGATGACTAGGCAGAGCATCGAGAGACCGGAAAGGGTGGCACGGCAGCGGAGAGGAAAGCGCCGCGGCGGCCGCCATTGCTGGGGCATCGCTGAGGTCTAGGCCGGAAACAGAGTATCGCCGTGGGAAAGCAAACAGCCGTGCTGCTTGGAAAGCTATGACGCTGGACTTTAACTCTCTACAACCGCGATCCACGAACGAGGCCACGTGAGCAATTCTGTCATAAACGAGCCATTGGAGGTCACTCAACCCCTCATAAGAGGTAAGTTGGCCTGCGTTGAAAACTAACTGAGGCGACAAATAGCACACAGAAGACTCCCCAATTCTCGCACTTGCCTGTTCGGTGAGTGCAATTCTGCCTTTCACCAGCAGCGAACACCATCCAGAAGGGTGCTTGCCCTTAGCCCCAAGCGGGTTACCCTGTTCTGCTCGCCATCCAGCGGCGTTGATGTAAAGGCAACTGCAAATCTCCAGCATCAAAATGTCGCCGTGCAGCCGTCTTTGTATCCTACCCTGCCCGGCCGCTAGTCTGCCTCAGGTCGCCTCGGGAGAAGAAGGGCGGGCGATTTTTTTTCCAAAATCGCTCAACTCCAACTCCAGCTCTCCCCGAATTGGTTGGTTTCCGACAGAAACACTTAGACCGTGGCCGCCGCCCTCCTTCCCTCACGTCACGAGTCGCGCCGCTCTGCGACATATTGCGATCGCGAAAAGGTTCGTGAGTCTGTGAGTCGCCACCATAACCCTCGGGTGCGGGCGAAGATGGACGAACCGGACAAACAGTTTCGTCGGGAGAGTGACGAACATCCAGGCACGTGAGAGCGATCGCGTCTGAAGATTCTGTGGTGACGTGGCAGCCCTCTGTTCACGCCACGCCACACTACACACCGAACCACCCTCCCCCAATACCCACCCCCTCCTCGGTCCAGCCAAAACAGTCAGCCACAGCCCACGGAGGCAAAAAAAAGACAACCCTAAGGAATTTTCTCCATATTCCTTAGGGCGCTTTGTACCGTGGCGAACCGTTTCTCAACTGTATCATACCGTGCACAACCTTTCTAGAAGTTCGAACTTTGGCAAAAGTTCGACCTCAAGGACACGCGCCCTTAGCGCGCCCAGCAACATCGCGTACAGCAGCAGCCGTTGTTCGCCCGTTGCTGCTAACGGGGCTTCGCCGACTTCGCGCGCGCTGTTTCACCAAACCTCGCACTGCTGGCCCTGCCGTGTCGGCCTACACTTCGGGACTAGCCCGAGCCTCGCTGCCAGCGTAGCACTAGCTAGCTCGCACGCACCGCGTTACCGTTTGCATGTTTCGCGTATAAATGTTCGCTCATGCCTTCGCTCACATTTTGTACTCGTCTGACACCTTAGTGCAATTCTCGCTACTTCGATTCATTGCACCCGTAACACTTGGTATTCAGAGCCTCTTTATTTTCGGACCGCGCATCTCCGCACCTCAGGAAATCAACTTTTGATTTTTTCACTCGAAGGGATTCACGCACCTTAGCCCCTAGGAGCCGCTGTCATCGCGTTCTCTCGTAAACGCGTGCAGCCACGCCTGCGCCTAGACCGAGCCAACGCCCTTCGCAATGGCCGAGCATATCGATGTCGCCACTCTCACGCAGGAGCACTTGAACGAACTGCTGCGGCAAATCCGCGAAAGCTCTGAAGAAATCGCGGCGCTGACGGCAGAACGCACGTCCCTGCAAAACGACATCGCAAGAGCACAGCAAGCACAATCCCAAGCACCCCATACGTTTCCACCGCCAGCCCAAACACCCCCACGTAATCCGGCCGCCCCTCATACAGTTCCCTCTTCGTTCTCGCCGCGTCCTCCGCCACCCAGCCTGGCGGTTTTACTGCCCTTGTGTCTCGGCGCTGCAAGACAGGGTCGGTCACAGTGACGTCCGTCACGTATGTCTCGGCGGACTCCCTGTCCTTGATGGCCAGGTCCGCTCGCTTGGGGTTGATGGGTTGCGAGTAGACCGTGGTCTCATACAAGGTGAGGTAGTCCGCCTCCCTGGCCATGCGGAGCGCTGTGTACACAAGGTTGTTGTGTGTGTTTGTCCTCTCCTTCCCCTCCCCGCACCGCAGCAGGTGGTTCGGTAAGCTCAGGCCCCCTATTTCCCCCCGCTCCCCTTGGCACGGGCAGTTCTCCGTCACCGGCAGCGTCAGTCCCAGGCGGAACCCCAAGGCAGCGTCAGTCCCAGTTCTCTCTCTCTCTCTCTCTCTCTCTCTCTCTCTCTCTCTCTCTCTCTCTCTCTCTCTCTCTCTCTCTCTCTCTCTCTCTCTCAAATGGTCCTTTGTATTGATAATAGGGGCTGGTACAGGCATGCATATCTAATGGAGTATTCAGCTAGCACAAGGACAAGCAAGCAATACCTAATGAGCACCCAAACAAGCAACCACACACCCCTACCCCCCCCCTTATCTAAGGTGCCTCTAGTGTTGTGAAGCAGTCACCGGGGTTCAACACCCCCTCTAGTCCCCCCAGTGGGGGGTTCTCTGCTCGTGCTGCCAGGTTCGGCTTTGTGAGGAAGCTCAGTGCCTGAGCTCGCTGGAGGGCAATGGACCAGCGCTGGCGGAACTGATGGAGCATCTTCGCGGCCTGATAGGTAGATGGGTCCGCATTGAAGAGCTTCCGCGCAGATTTGTCCGCCAGCAGCTTCAGGAAGGTGGGCACCTCGTCACAGGGGAAGCCATAGGTCTCAACTACCAAGGGGACAAACCCTGCAAACTCCGCCCTGCCGAGGTAGAGGTCAATTTTCTTGTCCGCGGCCTCCCGTGCTGCCTAGCCCCTCCCCTTCCTTGCTGTCTCGTCCCGCTTGCTGATGGGGTCCGTGATTGTGATATCTGCCAGCCACACCGCCCCCGAGCTCCCATCCCTAAAGGCCAGGTCAGCCTTCTTGTTGTCCACCGGACTGAAGGCAGTGCACTCCTTGTGCACTGCAAATCCTGCATCCTGCGCCATGCGGATGCACTCGTCGCGCAACTCGTTGTGGGTGTTGGTCCGGCCGTGCCCTGTACCACACCTAAGCAAGTGGTTCGGCAGCCTCTTATCTAGGATGGGGACCCGTTTGGTGCATTCACAGCACTCGGGCACAGAGAGTGGCAAGCCGAGCCTAAACTGGAGGGCGAACGTTAAGTGGTAGGGGTATAGGCGTAGGGAAGGCATGTAGGGGATCGCCATGAGCCAGTCCTCCGCCCCATAGCCCGTGAGGGACATGAGGCGCTGGGTGTGGCCTAGTAGGGGGTTTAGCTCCATCTGCCTAGATGCGGTAATCTGGGCTGCACTCCGGCCCCCTTGGACTAGGAGAGCGAGGCGGTGCTGCAGCTGGCCCTTGGGTTTTGCCTGCTCCGCCGAGATGAGGTCCCTCGCCTCCTGTGTGAGGCTGTCCCTGCAGTCCCCGATCCACCTCTGCAGCTCGTTGGGGCTGTGGTCGGCTGCTGCGGGGGTGTCTAATGCCGCTGTCAAAGTGGCCCCTGCCTGCCCCTCTAGCAGACCGAGGAGTGTGTGTACCTGCACAAAGCTTGCCAGAAAACTGTACCGGCCCTCTACCGATGGGTTGGCGAGGCCCAGGCTTGCCTAGGCTTGGTGGGAGTGAGGCTTGGTCCCAGATACGTCCATCCTCTGTCTCTCCCCTTGGGTGGTGCACCCCGCAAGCATCTAGAAGCGTGTACAGCAGCGCCCGGCCCCACCCTGACCACTCTGCTTCGGGTAACATGTATAGGGGTGTGGTGCGGGCTAGGTAAGAAATGCGCCTGGAGATACACCGTGTTAGGAGTAATGCCGCTACTTGGGGGTCCATTTTTGCTAAGTGGGGCAGCGGGGACGACAGTGTCTCGAGCTGTGATCGTAGAAAGGCTGCTGCTCCGTCTGTCGTGCCATTGAATCTTCCCAGCACTCTCAGCCCCTCCGTGCATAGCGAGACGCCCTCGGGCAGCTGCTGGGGGTCTATTTGTCAGAGGTCCACTGGTGATCCCCGATTGATCCTAGGGAAGGGTTACAGGCATGTTGGCCTGGGGGGTTATGGGCGCACTGACCCGCTACTTAACAAGCCCTTTTATCCCAATGGTCTAGTGGTTGTTAAGTAGCGGGTCAGTGCGCCCATAACCCCCCAGGCCAACATGCCTGTAACCCTTCCCTAGGATCAATCGGGGATCACCAGTGGACCTCTGACACCCCCCCGCACTGGGATGCCCGAAGTGCACACACTGGGATTCGAACCCGAGACCTTCGCTCTGATACCATGTCAGAATCCCAACCACTAGACCATTGGGATAAAAGGGCTTGTTAATTGGCGGGTCAGTGCGCCCATAACCCCCCAGGACAACGAGCCTTTAACCCTTCCCTAGGATCAATCGGGGATCACCAGTGGACCTCTGACACTATTGCTGCTGCGCTCCACGCGGCGCACTTCCCTGGGTTGTGGGTCAGTCCTACGTCGCGTAGGCCAGCCATGAAGTGGCGGAAAGCGTCGGAACAGTTAGCAGCAGGGCCCAGGATGGTGATGTCGTCAGCGAATGCTAGGCATAGAACCGTAGGGAAGGCTGCTGCTGTCGTGGTGAGAATAGGGTGGATCCCTGCGGCGAACAGCAGCGGGTCGAGCGGATCCCCCTGTCGTACGCCTGTCTCGCTAGTTAGTGCCTCGCAACCGAACCCCACGTCAAGGAACAACTGGGCCGGCCTGCTATAGGATGCTTTGACGAGGGGAATAAGGCCTTGGAGGTCGGTGTTGCGAAGTGCACTGACTAGTGCTGCGCGGCTAATCGAGTTAAAGGCGTTCGCTAGGTCGGCTTGCAGTATAAGCGTTCCTGGGTTTGCATAAGTGAAGGCCCTCGCGGCATGGATAATCGCTTCGCTACCGCCCTGGACGGACACGCAGTACCGTAACGGGAGGAAATGTGCACGGCATGCTTGGGAGAGGGCTGAGAGGGCGGACTTGGCGGCTAATTGTAAGATACACTCGCCTACCGCTATCGGTCTAGTTCCTCCGTCGGGCTTGGCTAGAGCTATGAGACGGCTGGCTGTTAGTAGCGAGCAGAGGTAGTTTGCCTCCCAAAATAGTGTTGACGAGGGCGTGGAGGTGTGTGGCAACCCCCGCGTTGGCGAGTGATGCATCACGCAGGTGTTCAAATGTCATACCCGACGGTCCTCCTCCCACCCCGTTCTCACAACGGCACTGCATTTTAATGAAGTCCCCTTTTTCGATCGATGCCGCTTGAACGGTATCGGGGATGTTCCAATCGATGATACCAGGTGGCGCGGGGGGGTGTTTTGCTTTGAGAGCGGCGAGGACGGGTGCAGATGGGTCGGCGACCGGCGTTGACTCAAGGGCGAGGATCGCCGTGCGGAGGCTTCCTTTTCGTGCGAGGCCTTCTGCCCTGGCACGTTTGCCAAGGGCATCTGGCGTATGGCGAGGTGGGTGTGGTCCAGTGATTGCGGTAACCACCGAATCGTAAAGTTGCTGCCATTCGCCTTTGTTAAACTGGCGAAGTCGGTGCTTGACCGCCGGCCAATCGGGCTTCTCCGTTGACGGGAGGCGAAGGGTGAGGCGCAGGAGAAAGAGTGACAGGCGCCAGCCTGCGACTGACGCAGGGTTACGCGCGAGATGAAGGAGTGGTGTCAGGAGGGCTGTGGCGAAAAGTGGGCGAATGTCAGCAAGGAGTTTGCGCGAAAGTGGGGGCTGACGACTGTCGCGTAGAGGGGTCAGGTCCCATAATTCCACTTCGCCGAACCGCACCAAGTCCTCGGCCAATTGTTCAGGCGAGAATTGGCGGGCCTCTGATGCGGTGGTGTCCGGTACCGGCCGGTTTGAGTCGCCACCTATTGCTGCTGGAATTGGAGCGGCTCGGCGTGGTGTTGGGTTTGCCCGACGTCTACCTTCCCGTTCCTCCTCCTCTAACTCCCCCGATTCTTCTGTGGTGGACTCTTCCACCACCTCTGCTATAAACATAGGGTCTCTTGCCTCCTCCTCAGCTTCAGTGTTCTCCACTCTTCGAGTTAAGGCCCGGCGTGCTTCCCTCTGGAAGCCATTCTCAGGTCCGCCTCCCCTTCCAGTCGCTCCTCCTCGTCCGCCGCCTTGTCCGCCCCGCGATGCCTGTATCGATTGGCGACGAGTATTATTCGTACTCGCCGCGGCCCTTTGTCGAGGCGTCGGCTGCAATTGCCCCTCCAGCCTTGTCGTCCACGGCGCCTGCGGCTGTGGGGATGTCGCCTCTTCCTGCACCTCGATCTGCGCCGTCATCTGTGACTCAGGCTGGCCCTGTCCTTGCTCCTGCTACGGCGCCCGTTCCCGTCGTGGCGTTGATGTCTGCGTCTGCCGCGGGACCAGATCATGTGCCCGCGTCGTCGCCCGCTCCAGCGCTCGCCTTGGCGTATGCTCCTGCGCCCGCTCCTGGGATGGCTGCAGCGTCCGATCCTGCGCACCCTCCTGCGCTCGCACCGATGGTTCCATCTGTCCCCGTGGGGATGTCGGCGCCCTTGCCTGTAGTCGCGGCGTCGTCTGCTGCTGATGGGGCAGCCTCCGTGCCGCCACCTACCGTTGCTACTGCGGACCCGACTTACCGGCCACCTCCAGCCACCAGCCTTGGCCTAAGCTCGGCGGAGGTTCAGTCGGCTCGCGCGTCGCCTCTGGTTACTCCTACTTCTCTGCCTGCGGCAGCACCAGCGCCGCCTCCGACTGTCCAGGCGGGTCCATTTCCCGCACCCCTTGCTCCTATTCCCCCTGCTCAACGTCATCCGTCCCCTGGCCGTCGGCAGCATCGGCCTCATTCCCCTGTGCTGCGTGACGAGCGGGAGACGTCAAGGCGGCGGCACGATTCTCATCGGCACCGTGGTTCGCAGGCGAACTGGGCTGCACCCCGTGGCGGCCGAGGGGGCTGGTGGGGAGGGCGTGGTCGCGGTGGCGGCTGGGTGTATGATCAGCCGGTGACAATGGCCAACTTGCCTTGAGTTGTGTCTGACGCGTTGCGCGACAAACGGAACGGGCGGGCGAGCCTGAGCAATTCGCCGCGCGTCGCTCCTGCGCCGGTGTCCCTTCCTCCGGCTGCGCCCTATGCGCTTGCACCTCCTCTTCCCTCGTCGGCCGCTCCTCCTCCTCGTGCTCCCGTGGCATCTGTTGCTGCTCCTGGGAACCGTCTGCGGATGCCGTGGGTTCCTCCTGTGGCGGGCATGGAGTTCGTGACTGCAGGCGGAGGGCCGGTGACGCCGCAGTATCCGTCTCTACTGCATATGGCTCCTGCTTCTTCGGCAGCTGATCCTCCAGTACAATCACTGGTGGGGCCTTCTCCTTCGGCGGATGTGCCTGATGTGACTCTAGGGCAGCTTTGGCGCCTCTCTGCGGGTTTGTGGGCCGTTCACCTGATCCAGGTGTATTGTCACGCGGCGCTTTCTCGCGGCGTGCCTCTAGAAGGCGGCCCTCTGGACGAGTGCTCGGATGCCGCTGATTGGCTTGCCGAGCTCCTTGCGCCCGTGTTGGCTGCGCCCGCGCGGGGTGGAGTTGCGGGCGTTGGACAGCTTGGGACTGAGCTCCGTGGTCTGCGCCGTGTGATGCGCGCAGCGACTGCAGTCGACCTGATCGGCGCAACCACTGTGGTGGTGCGCGAGCTTCATTGCTCGTTGACGGGGCTCCTTGCTGTTCTTGACGCGGATCAGATGTAGACTCCGCCGATGCCCCCGCCATCCTTGCCATAGGACGTAGCGTTGCCTAGGCCGTGGCTGTTGTTGACATTGCGTGTATGCCTTTGTGGGGGTCGGTGATGGCCGTGTGCTCTCTCTCTCTCTCTCTCTCTCTCTCTCTCTCTCTCTCTCTCTCTCTCTCTCTCTCTCTCTCTCTCTCTCTCTCTCTCTCTCTCTCTCTCTCTCAAGCAGTCCTTCATTGATAGGATCAGAAAGGTACAAACATGGCATGAGTAGAGACTAGGCCATTGTCTACTCTAGTTATGCCTGCATTCATGGCCCTGCAAGATATGGGGGCATGCGAGTGCTACCTGCAACAAACCAGACCCGGTACCCTCAAGTCACTCCATCTCCTGATCCCCTGCCCTCCTTGCAGCCTTAACCCTTGTCCTTCCTGTTCAGCTGCCCTCCTGACCAGCCCGTGCTGCCCTACTCCCCCAGTACCCCCTCCATCTCATCCTCTAGCACCTGCCAAAGGTCGCCCAAGCTAGGCTCCCATGGATCCGTGGGTCCCTGAGGGAAGGCCGCCTCAGCAGCTCGGTTTGACTTGGAAAGGAAGGACACCGCCTGGCTACGCTGGAGCATTATGGACCACCGCTGCCTGTAATGAGCTGTGAGCCGCGCAGCCGTGGTGGTTAGTTTGCCTTGGCGATACTTCTTCTTTGCTGCCGAGGTTGCTAGCAGCCGCAAAAACTGCACCGTATCTGCTGCCAGGGCCCCGTATGTCTCAACCGCCAAACCAAAAAACCCCACACAGTCCGGGCGACCCTCGTAGAGCCTATGCTTGCTCTCGGATGCTTCCTTGGCCGCCCACCCTGGCGGCTTCCGTGCTCTGGTGTCGCGCCTCTGTAGGACTGGGTCAGTCACGGTCACGTCCGTGACAAAGGTTTCACCCGATTCCTGGTCCTGGATTGCTAAATATGCCCTCTTACGTAGCACAGGGGGGGAGAAGGTGGTGGTTTCGTGGAAGGTCGAGAAACCTGCCTCCCTCGCCATCCGGAGTGCTGCATACACCAGTGCATCATGTGTCCTAACCACGTCCCCTCCATCCGCACATCTAAGTAGGTGATTCGGGAGCGAGGTGTCACTGATGTCCGAGTTTTTCCGCTTGCAAGGGCACTTTACTGTAACCGGCAGCTGCATGCCTAGACGGAAGCCCAACGCCATCGAGAGCTGACCAGGGGATAATGTAAGGTCAGCCCTCGTTGGCACCGCGTGCAGCCAATCTCCTGCCCCTATTCCCTGCAGGCCGATGAGTCTCACTGCGTGCCCGTTGTCTTTCCCCGGCCTATCCATCATTGTGTCAGCCACGAGCTCCCTCGCCCTTGTCTCCCAGATGTGCCTGGATAGGAGCAGCTGCAGGTTGCCAGCGCCTGGTGGGCGTTCTCTGAAGGCATGCAGGGCCGCTCGCGCACTTGCAGGGAGCTCCTCCTCCAGTGCCGTGAGCTGGTTGCTGTTGGGGGGCTCCGGGTTCCAAGTGTGAGAGAACAGTGTTGTTGCCCGGCTCAGTAGGTGCTCTTTCTCAATGTTCATCTGCTGCAGCAGTTGTTGCGCCGCTGTGATTGATGCAATGTGTGCTGCCGGTGCCTCCGAAGTTGGGTCCACAATGCCCAGCCCCCCAAGCCGTATTGGGAGTGTTGCCTGTCGCCAGAGCAAACTCTGTTCGAGCTCACTCCTCGGCATCCGTAGTTTGGCCGAGGTGAGTGCCGCTTCCAGCAAGGTTTCGCTCCATCCCCTCCAGCTCTCTCTCGGCAGCGTCTGTGATGGTGTAGTGCGTAGCAGGTAGGACACCCTCCTGCTGATGCTTCGCGAGATGATGAGCAGGGCGTGTTGAGGGTGCATCTGGGCGACTAAGGGGAGTGGTGCAGAGGCGTCAGTAGGCTTCGCGACAACTTGGTTTGTGCAGAATTCCTCTGTACCGATGGGGCTGCCCAGCACCTGGATGCCTTCTCTGCTCAGCTCTAACCCCTCTGGAGGCGTGCCGTCCTGGGCTTCTATCCCGTTGGGTGTCCATGCTGAAGATTTCCCAATGTTGCATTTCAGCCCGCATGATGCTAGACCGCGGGTGATGGAGTCGAATGCTAAGAACGCCGCCTCCTGTGGGCCTACGATCGTGATATCATCCGCGTAGGCCACAACCGCCACCTCTGGGAGGAGCGTGGCCGCCGTGAGTAGGGTAGGTTGGATGGCCGCGGCAAAGAGTAATGGGCCCAGTGGGTCTCCTTGTCGCACCCCCCTAGTGCTCGCTATGTGATCTGCGTCGAAGCGTGTGTCGACGAGCAGGCGGGAGGGTCCGTCATAGAGCGTGCTGACGAGGGGTATGAGCGGCTGCAGGTTAGACCGGGAGAGTGCAGTGAAGAAGGCGGAACGTTCTACACTGTTGAAGGCATTCTCGATATCTAGCTGTAGTGCGATGCGTTTGCTATCGTCCCGCAGGAGCGATCTGACGGTGTGGATAACACATTCGGCGCCGCCCGCGACTCCCACTCCGTATTGCACAGGCAGGAAAAACTCTCTTATGTTTGGTGCTAATTCGCGTAGCGCCGCTTTCGCCACTATTCTGAGTATGGTCTCGCCAATGGCTATAGGTCGTACCCCGCCCCCTGGCTTTTCTAGGGCGATGAGGCGTGATGGGAGTAGCATGTCGCGGACCTCCTGGGTCTGGAGTGTTCCAAGCAGGCGATTAACTATGCGCGTGAGTAGTATGAGGGCCTCCTCGTTTGTGTGGGCGGGATCCTTCAGGTGTTCGAAGCAGGTGCCTGATGGGCCTGCTCCCACTCCATTCGGGCACTTCGCCAGCAGATCGCGGAGGTCGTCATGGCTGATGCTGAGTGAGGCAGTGGCGTACCCCGTAACCACAGCAGGGGTTGGCGTTTCCGCGGTTGGGTGTTTCGCTCGTAGTGCTGCGAGGGTCTCTGGCGATGTGTCCGCCAGTGGTGTTACGCGTAACGCTGCAACGACTTTCGAAATATTCCCTTTTTTGACGAGCCCTTCTGCTCTAGCACACAGGCCCACATCGTCAGGCTGATGTCGTATCGGTTCTCCTGTGTCGGGGATGACACAGGCCTCGATGTAGAGCGCGTCCCACCTGCCGAGCCTGAATTGGTGTAGCCTGTGCTCGATTTCAGCCCACCGAGTCCCCTCCACTGGCTCCGGCAAGGGTCGCAGGGTCAGCCTCGGCAGGAACAGCAACAATTTCCAACCTCCTGGACAGTCGGGATATTCCGTCACTCTCAGAAGCGGGGTCAGTAAACATTGGGTGTAGCTCTCCAATAGCTTAGGTGGCAGCCGTCGGACTAGGAAGGGCTGATTGCTCTGCTGGAGCTTTGTCGTGTCCCATGATGCCACCTGTTGCCATAGTCCAGTGTCCCCCGCCAGGTCGGATGGTTGACGTATGCTTGGCTCCGGCTGTGGTGCTGGTCCCGCGCCATCTACTGGTTCCTCAGTGTTGACTCTCCCGCCATCTCCAATCCTTGCCCTACCCCGTGTGGCAATTCTCTCTTCACTCTCCCCCTCGTACTGTGAGAGTTCCTCAGAAACACGCTCGTTGTCAGGATTAAATTCACTCCCGCTGTCGTTGTTGTCAGCGCTTCCCTCCTCATTCGCCACCTCGTGCTCAATCTCCGGACGGTTGTGTCGCTCCCGCCACGTCCCGGATCTAACCAATGCTGGCTCTCCGCCCACGACGGGCCCTCTCCCCCCTCTTCCTCCCCGTCCCCTGCCTTGGTCTCCGCGCGCTCCTCCCCTGCCTGCGCTATTGTTCCCTCCTCGCCCTCCGTGGGTTGCGCCCGCTCGTCCCGCCGGCATCCACGGCGCTCGCCCCACGGTCGATCGTCCGCCGTTCGGCGGTCCCCAGGCGATTCTGCCTCCTCTCGCGCGGCTTCGAGTCGCCCTGCCTTCCGTTTCTGGCTGGGCGTCGTTCCCGGCTGCTGTTACTTCAGCCTGTGGTTATGGTCGAGTCGCCATCTGTTCGGTTTGCGGTTCGCCTCCGCCTCCACCCCTTGCGGTCTCCCTGCCGCTCGTACCCCCTGATGGCTGACGGTGCTCTTGGGCTTGTGGCGTCTGCTCTTGCAGATGCCATCCCCGGAGAGGCCCCGGGGGACCAGGTGCCAGGCCTGCTCCGAGCCTTCGCGGTGCTGGCTGGACGCGGATCCTCTTCCCAGTCTTCTCGCGGCCGGCGTGGTGGGCTTGCTCGGCGTGGTCGCCGTGGTGGCTCGCACCAGCCGGTGTATCACTCCCCTCCTGGGCGCACTCATGCGTTTCTGCGACCGCGTCAGCAGCAGTCGTTCCGCCGTACTCGCCGTCAGCCCTTCCTTCCTCCGCCTCTCCCGCGTCCTCCGCGATCGTTGGTGCCAGGGCCCTCCCCGCCGCCGCCCCTTCTTCTTCCGCAGGCTCAGTTGCCGCCGTCGCAACCTTCGTCGTCGCCACTCCAGCCACAGTCCCCGTCTGTTCTTCAGGCGGCTCCTTTGCCTTCTTCTTCCCCGTTGCCGTCAGCTCCCTCTGCCCCTGCGGTTGTTCTGCCAGCTTCTTCAGCACCGCCTGCTCTACCCCCGAGCGCGCTCCCACAGTTGTTTCTTGGGGGGCGTGAGATCCCGATACCGTGGGAGGTGTTGTTGATGTGAAGAATGAGGAATGAATGAACTAGCAAGCAGGTGGGTACAAGTAGGAAAACCTAGAAGTGTTGTACCCCATATTGTCTACCCCACTATAGCCTACACAGACTATAGCATAAGAGTTTGACACACCCCCATAGGCAAAGTGGGGGAGAACAAGAGGTCACAAGACCAGTCAAGCAAAGCAAGCTCAGGGTGGATCACAACGTCACCACACAGTCCGAGCACAAGAGCAAGGCCAGAAGGCCAGTTCACATGCAAGATCATATATAAAGGTAAACAAGCAAGTGCAGGTATAGAAAGATCACAGTACAAGCAAGGTCAAGAAGTGAGCAAGTGAGGCCAAGTAGGCACAAGACCTAGCATCGTACAGAAGCACTGATGATCACAAGGCGGAAGTGCCTTGGTAAAGATATCAGCAGTGTTGGCCTCAGAGGCCACGTAAGCAAGGCGCAGCTGACCACGCTGCTGCAGCTCACGAGCAAGGAAGTAGCGAAGAGCAATGTGCTTCGTTCTGTGCTCCAGTCTGTGCTCCCGACACAAGGCCAGCATGGCCTTGTTGTCTATGTACAGAACTGGAGGAGACGGCAACGGGACACGCAGAGGAGCAGTGGAAGGACGCAGTGCCATCTGGTGGGTGCCTGGGACCGCAGGAGGACGCGGACGCGGAACACGACGACTAGTGCGAGCAGCACGAACAGGCGACGCAGGACGAGACGCAGGCTCACGACGCTCAGCAAGACCTCCAGTGGGACCAGTGTAGGGAGAAGGAGCAGGAAGAGGGGAGGCGGGCTGTAACTGTGACTGCGACTGGACAGGCTGCGGACTCTCTAAGGGAGGAGCAGGACCAGTAGAGGGCTGGAGACCAAGAACCTGCTCGAGGAGCGGAACAAAGTATGGCCGCGGCCATGCAGCGTCTCCAGAACCAGCGGGGACAGCACCAGTACCCCCAGCGGCAGCACCAGCGCCTGCAGTACCTCCAGCTCCAACAGCGCCACCTCCAGCACCCTCAGAAGCACCAGCGCCAGCAGAACCAGCGCCAACACCCTCAGCAGCTCCAGCTCCAGCAGGACCGGCAGCTACAGTACCGCCAGTAGCTCCAGCAGTACTTCCAGCAGGACCAACCCCAGAAGTCCCAGTAGTACCCCCAGTCCCAGCAGCTCCAGCACCGGCAGTACGAGTACCTCCGGGACCAGCAGCAACAGTAGTACCTCCAGCTCCAGCAGCACGGCTCCAGCGCCGGGCAAACCACTCGCGCAGCTCCTCTGGAGAGAGCGGCTCCCGCCTCGACGAAGCACCGCCGGCGGCCACACGAGCAGACCCAGCACCCCCAGGCTCCGCACCCCCAGGCTCCGCACCCCCAGGCTCAGCACCCCCAGGCTCAGCACCCCTAGACGCAGCACCCCCAGTCTCAGTACCCCTAGACTCAGCACCCCCAGGCTCAGCACCCCCAGACTCAACACCTCCAGACCCGGCACCCGCAGGCTCAGCACCTCCAACAGCACCAGAGTCAACAGCTACCTCGACAGGCTCGACTGCGTCTACCTGGGACACACCTGACGGGGCAGGACCCGGCGCAAGGAAGAGCGGCGGCGTGGGGAGGGGCGCAGTGCGGTAGGGGAAGAGACGGTAGTAAGGTACCGACTCGTCAAAGGTGACGTCCTAGGAGGACAGAACACGGCGCGAGGTGGGGTGGTAAAACTGCCAACCAGGCGCGTCAGGGGGGAAGCCAAGGAAGACGCAGGGAACAGCACGGGGGGACAGCTTGTCCGCAGACAAGTCGCGGACAAACGCCCGAGATCCCCAGACCCGAAACGCAGACGCATCGCCAACCTTCCCCGTCCACCGCAAGGTGGGGGAGGTCTCTGGCAAGGAGACCCGGGGCTGAAGGTTGAGCTGATGCGCCGCGTACTGAACCGCAAACGGCCACAGAAAATGGGGGGCAGCCGCATGGATCATGGACGTACGAGCGACGTCCATGACCATGCCAATGCGGCGCTCAGTAATCCCATTTTGCTGTGGAGAGGCCGGAAGCGTGAAGGTCTGGCGGATGCCCTGTGCACGACAGAAGGCTCCCAGACGGGCAGAGGAAAACTCCCCGCCTCTGTCAGAGTGCAGACGCAGAACAGGAAAGTCCGAGCCGAAACTCTCTCTGAGCTGGAGACGAGCTGCGCGGATCCAGTCGCTCAACACCTCAGTGACGTCACCCTTGCTGCGCAAGGGGAAGACTGTGGTGTAACGCGAGTAGTCGTCAACCACCAACAGGAAGTAACGCTCGTGCCCCTGTCCACGGACGCGGGCGGGGCCCCACACGTCCATGTGGAGAGTCTGCAGCGGAGCCTCTGTCGGAGGAAACTCGGAGGAGTGAGGGGCGGCGCGCTGTCGCCTCTCGACGCAGGGGACGCAGGTAGGGGCAGGCCCCGGAGGTAGGGGAGGGAGAGACCGGGGGAGATCAGAGACAAGGACACGGGAGGCCATGCCTCGGAGACGAGGCAGGGAGGGGTGACCAAGACGGTGGTGCCAAAGGAGAGTCTGGTGGGACAGGAGACGACACGAGCAGGGAGCAGACTCAGGACCAGACCTGGACGCTGCAACAAACACCTGACTCGACGCAGTTACCTGGCCAGACTCAGCAGCCGGAGGAGACTCAGTAGTAAGTGTGTACAGGCTCGACCCTGGCCGATGGGTGAACGTGGCCAAGTGTCGGCCTGTCCGAGCACACATGCAGTGGGTCACCCGCTGACTCGCAGGAGTGAACTGGTCAACCCCCCTATCCTGTAGGTCAGCTCCACTCACCAAGTTCGTAGAGAACGAGGGGAGGTAGAGACCTGACAGGGTGGCAGAGGGGGCTGCCGGGCACGGTAAGACAGTGGAGAAGCTAGCAAGGACAGGACCCCCAGAGGGGTCCGCCAGGGAGACTGCAACCGGCCGACTAAGCGGCGTAAGCGTGGTGCGGTCTCGAAAGAAGGAGCGGGAAGCACCCGAGTCAAGGGTGAAGGTGTGTAAGGCCTGAGCCGACGTAGTACCTGAGAGAGCAGACTCACCAGCACCTGGGGCAGCAGACGCACTAGCACCTGGGGCAGCAGACGCACTAGCACCTAGAGCAGCAGCCTCACCAGCACCTAGAGCAGCAGCCTCAATGCCCGGGTCAGGCGGAACACACAGGTAACAGTCACCCTCAACACTAACAGACACAGCATACATGGCAGCAAGAATAGCATCATAGTCAAGATCAAAGATGGCAACCCCCGCCCTAGACAGATCTCCCCAGCGAGGGATCTCTGACGCCTCAGGGAACTGGTGACGCCACGCGTCCGTCAGGCGGCCGAAGCAGCGTTGGGAGGAGTGCGGGCCCCCGCACTGCTCACCAGCGCGGTCGCCGGTACGGAGAACGTAAGTGCAGGGACCAGTACCCCCACCGCGCTGACGCGCAGCGTACCACTCACGAAGCTGCTGAGGGGACAGGGTCTCACGACTGCGCTGCTGCTGCTGGCGCGGACCACCACCGGACCCACTCCTCTGCGCAGAGTCGCGACCAGCTCCACCGCCGCCGTCGCCGCCGCCTCCGCCGCCTCCGCCACCTCCGCCGCCTCCGCCACCTCCGCCACCTCCGCTCCCTCCGCCACCACCGCCGCCTCCTCCGCCTCCACTGCTGCCACCTCCGCCGCCACCCCCGCCACCATTCCCACCACCACCCCCACCCCCTCCACTGCCTCCACCACCACCTCCACCGCCCCCGCTAGCCCCTCCAGCTCCCTTGCCCCCCTTGCCCTTGCCGGTGCGGCGTCTCCCGCTAGGGGCAGACGCAGCGCCGACCCCGTAGAAACCAACGAGGTCGGCAGCAGCAGCAGAAGCAACAGAGGGCAAGAGGGGGGAGGGGGAACACCCCTCAAAGACGGGGGTGCGAGGGTCACCACGAGAGGCTCCTACAGCTACTATGCTCTTCTCTGCTGCTAGGAGGCGCTCCTCGAGGAGGTCAACGGTGAGTGTGGTGGGGCAAACTGAGAGGAAGTGGTCCCTGACTAAGCGAAGAGAGTCAGGGAGCCGGGCGACTATGTAGTAGAGGGTGATGTACATGGGGGGGGGGGGTCTTGGCGCAGAACTCAGCAGGAAGCGCAGCGCGGTAGCGAGTGTCACTAGTGCGGAGGTGCGTAATGAGGTCAGCGACTGTGGGAAAGGCAGCAAGGTCAGGGAAGAGGTACGGTAGCATGAGGCGGCTCAGTGCAGCGGTGGCAGGGGAAGAGTAGCGTGCAACTACAGCGTCGTACAAGGTCTGAGCACTCTTGTACTGGCTAAAGTGTGCACGCTCAGTGGTCGGTAAGTGGCGACGCACAGCAAGATGGGCAGCAGCATCACGTGTCGCCCACTGTGAGCGAGCAGTGCTGTCAGCAGTAGCAGGCGGGGCAGGGGAGGCACCAGAGGTGAGGTCGAACAGAGAGAGGCCGTCTGCCCTATCGCACTGGAGGAACAGCTGGAGGTCATCGACCCAGACCTCAAAGTCAACAGCACGACCCTCAGTATCAAAGGTAAGAACACTGGGGGTAGCCATCACTGCAGAGGTCTAGCAAGGAGTGAGCTCACCAGTCCGAGTAAGTAGGGCCGGGGCGCGCCGGTAGGACTAGTAGCGGCTCGACGGCAGGGCGGCTCGGCGGCTCAGCGGCTCGGCTGCTGGGCGGCTCGGCTGTCGGGCGGCTCGGCGGCTCGGCTGCTGGGCGGCTCGGCTGTCGGGCGGCTCGGCGGTTCGGCTGCTGGGCGGCTCGGCTGTCGGGCGGCTCGGCGGCTAGGCGGCTCGGCTACTGGGCGGCTCGGTGGCTCTGCTACTTGGCGGCTCGGCGGCTCTGCTGCTGGGCTGCTCGGTAGAGGCGGCGTTGGGGCCGCTAGGGGCAGCGACGGGGCCGCGTAGGGAGGGGAGCGGCGACGGGGCCGTGTAGTGGCGGCGACGGGGCCGCGTAGGAAGGGGGGGGGGGGGGGCGGT